AAACACTAAACCCTCAATCCCGAACCCTAGACCCTGAACCTTAGGCCGCAGCTGAATTCTGAACCCTGATCCCTGAACCCTATACCCTGGGCCCAAACCCTTGCACCCTAAACACTACACCCTGAAACCTAGGCCGGACCTAGGCACGACACCCACGCCTGGAACACACAGCCTCAGACTCCACCCGAAGCCCTGCAGCTGTGTAAGCCCCATGTGTTTAAGGCTTAGGGTTTGGGGCTTTAGGGTTTAGGGTTTTGGTGTTTAGAGCTTACGTATGAACCCTAAACCCTAAACCCTAAACCCTAAACCCCTAATCCTTAAGCCAAGCCCAAAGCAGCCATTTCATCGTTGAGGGCCAGCAGTTGCAGAGATGGCAGCTGCCCGGATGCAGGGATGCTATCTGGGGCTCCTTTCTCGGGTTCCTCAAAGGGTTCTATAAGAATGGCTGAACTCTAGGGTTTCGGGTTTAGGGTTTAGGGTTTGCGGTTTGGGGTTTAGGGTTTCGTTTCGGGATGGAGGGAGGGTCCAGGGAAATGGAGATTTCAGGTTTTGTTGTGTTTTGGGTCAACCCTAAACACTAAACCCAACGTGACGGACGCAGGAGTTAAAAGGCCCGCCTAGGCACGAAACCTTACGCCCAAGCCTTCACCTGCCAGAAGTCAGGGCTTCGGGTTTCAAGTTTAGGGTTTAGGTTTTGGGTTTAGGGTTTCGGGTTTGGGGTTAAGAGTGTCGGGTTCAAGTGATTCATAAACTCTTTCCCCATTCAGGAATTACAGTGCGGATCACCAGTTGAAGTCCCCACATCACCCATCTACATTGCAGGGTTTACGCTTTAGGAGCCCGCGTTTAGGTTCGCGGCTTGCCCCATAGAACCCCAAAGGTAAAGTGCCAGTATAGAAAATGTATCCCCAAACTCCTCTTTCAATTGGTCAGGCCCCTAGTTCAAACTCATTGACACCCTACAGTAGCCCCATATAGCCCTCAACAAATCCCGCACAACAACAACATCACCACTGCATCCCCACAACAGCCACAGCAACAGCAGCAACAGCAAAAGCCACAGCCACAGCCACAGCGATAAACATAGCCACAGCGACAGCGATAGCGACAGCAACAACAACAACTACAACTACAACCACAGCCTTATACAAAACACACCATAAATCCATGCCAAGCCCAGCTGAACAGCTCGATGACCTCCACACCGGTTCCTCAGAATTTTCGGCCTTCTGCCCCGAAACCACAAAACTTTAAAACCCTAAAAGCCTTAAGCCCCCAAGCCGTAAACTAAACCCGAAACCATAAACCCTAAAGCCCCGAAAGGCAGGAACCCTTAGAACTTGAAACCCTAAACGCTAAAACCTAAAACCTAAACCCTAAACCCTAAACCCTAAACCCCTAAATCCTAAAACCCAAACCCTAAACCCAAAACCCTAAACCTTAAAGTTCCTTTAAGGGAGCCCTCAAACCTCGGGCCCCAAGGACCTCTTAAGCAAGGAAGAGACCTTAAACCATAAGATGAAGGCCCCTAGAATTTAGGGTGCATTCCTTCATTCCCTTATAGAAACCCTTATAGATCCCTTTAAGGAGCCCTTATAGATCCCGTTAAGGAGCCCTTATACATCCCTTTAAGGAGCGCTTATAGATCCCTTTAAGGCCCCTACAAGTTAGGGTGCATTAATTCCTTAGTTAAGGTGGATTTCGCTCTCTGGGACCTCCGGCCCCGAGGATCTCAAGGTGCGTACGACGAAGTCCGCCTCCGTGTCGCCGGGCGAGGCATGCTGGGCGTTGTCTGCCGGGTTTCTAGAGTTTAGCGTTTAGAGTTTAGGGTTTGGGGTCCAGGGTTCAGGGTTCAGGGTTTAGGGTTTAAGTTTTAGGGTTTAGTGTTCAGGGTTTAGGATCTACTGGAGTTTGCTGGGTTTGTGCTGGGTTTTGCAAGGTTATGCAGGGCTTGACGGTGTTTTACTGAGTGGTACCGGGTTTTTACGTTTTGTTTGTTGAGAGTGCTGTCTGGGTTTAATAGGCTTTTATTTGGCTGTAACGGGGTGCTTCTAGGGCCTGTGCTTGAACTATGGGCAACCGGCAATCGGTTCTATTCCTGATTATGGATCATGCAGTATGTCGTCTCTCAGCAGTAGACGGTTTAGGGTTTCCGGCATTTGGGTTTAAGAGGGGACCTGGTTTGGCACTAGAGTTTTACAGGTTTAGAGGGACAAATGAAATTACTTTAGCCTGAAGAAGTAGTACTACTCTGCCTTCTGGCTCCGGTCAGATATGTCAACCATGCTTTAGGGTTTAGGGTTTAGGGTTTAGGGGTTTAGGGTTTAGGGTTTAGGGTTGCTCACCATCATGATCACCAGCATCGCCATCTTCACCATCGACATCAGCACCGTCGTCATTAGAGATGCTTGGAGCTAAATCCTACCTGTCGTGTTCAAGCATGCCTTAGCATGCAACACTGCACCCGATTGTAAGCACCCCTGCAAATTCTAAACACTAGAAGGTCTTAATAAAGCGGGAAGCCCCATGAACTCTAAACTGTATTTATGCCTGAGTCATTGCATCCTATACATCCACAGACCCCAAAGTCTATTTGCCCACACACAAGGCGATGCAGATGCTCCGTGCAGGCCAGCCTATGAATGCCGACGAACGGGTATACCGGATCTTGAGGGGGTCGTGCTGAGTACGGCGGGCTGAATACAAGTAGTATGCAATAGTCAGTCCAGTATTTCCTCACAATATCTATGCAATACCCTAAACCCTAAACCCTAAGCCTCAACTGTACCAGATGCCAAACTGCCAAACCCTCCGCCTGCATGACGTGCTTTTTGTTGTTACGTCGGGTCCAGGGCTTTCGGCGACTGCTGTTTTGAGTACAAGCAATGATGGTTTCGGGTTTGGTGATCGGGATTTCGTGGTTTCCGTTTCTCTTGGGCCTTATTCTGAGGGAGGCGTACGGCGTCGCAAGCACTTGATCCTGTCGTGGTTTTCAGACCATGCTGTTGGGCCGATCTGAGGTTTTGGTGTGCAAGGTAGACCCCCAAACAGCCCTAAACGCAAAACCCTAAACCCTAAATGGCCCTAAAGGTTAAACCCCAAACCCATCTTACATACCTGATAAAGGCTCCCCAACTTATGAAAAGGCTCCTTTTTACGCAGCGTCTAAGTTCGCACCCCCTTGGCTTTCCGAAGCTCCCAGAAGATCACTTTACCTATAGTCTCCGGTGTAGTTCCTTTTTTGGGGTTTAGGGTTTAGGGCCTAAGGATTTAGGGTTTAGGGTCTAGGGCCTTCGGGTTTAGGGCCTATGTGTTTAGGGTTTAACGAGTTGTATATGTAGGATCCCAGAAGGTCACCCGCAAAAGGAAATCACAATGCAGACTATCGATACCTTGTTTGAGGAAGCCGCTTCCTCGTCTACCTGCAGCAAATATAGGGCTTGGACATTTCGTTGTATAGCCAAGAACCCGAAGGAAAAGTGTTGCGATTTATTCAGACCCCCTATGCCCTAAACCCCAAATCCTACACCCCAAACCCCAAACCCCCCTAAACCCTAAACCCCAAGCCCTAAACCCTAAACCCTCTGGCTAAGTACCTATACTTTAGGGTTTAGGGTTTAGGGATTAGAAGATCGACAGTCTAAATCCTCTAACCCCTAAACCGTAAATCCAAAACCCTAAACCCTAAACCCTAAACCCAATTTAGAGTTTTGAACCGTCGGGTCGTGAACCGTAGAAGCCAAACTTAAACTCCGCGAGTTCATCAGTTCTCCTCTAACTCTGCTCAGGGTCCAGGGTTTTCGAGTTTGGCCTTTGGATGTTCGATTAAAGCTCAATCAAGATTTGGGGTTTTGGTTTTAAGGTTGGGTAAACTGGCCCTAACTCCTGAAACGCCCCTAAACCCTAAACCCTAAAACCCCGTTCATCTTGCTACTTTGCGGCAGGAAATCAGCGCTTCGTGAAGGGCACACCCCAGGCAGCTTGGCTTCTGACCGTCAGGGTTTAGGCTTTAGGGTTTCGGGTCGTGGGTATACTTGAGTTTAGGGTTTGAGGTGTAGGTTGGTTTCATACATATATATATATATATATAATATACACACATGTCTCGGGGTGCAGGCATGCATGGCTGATGAGGTTTAGGGTTCCATGAGCTCTGGGTTCAGGGCTTTTGAGCTTCAATACTTAGCCACGGTGTGGGGTTCACGGCATTGTTCCTTCTGTAACCCTCGCATGGCGGTAGTGTAGGGTTCAAGTTTTGTACGTTCAGATCACGTACCCTGTTGAACAGCGCTTTATGGGTAGTTCTCTAAATTAGGGTCCCTTTCTAGATCCCAAACATAGCACGACACCCTTATAAGAAGGACCCTTAAAGGGACCCTAATTTACAGAACTACCCGTACGACTATGATAACCTGCTCGTGTATAAGAATAAACTGCCATGAGTGCCGTTTTGGTTACGGCAAGCAACCACTGTCTCGAGGTTTAGGGTTTAGGGTTTAGGGTTCGTAACAGATTTCGTTGTTTTTCAGTGCTGCTGCCGTTCGGCCTACTATTCACAGCAAAAAAGCGTGACAATGATTGCTCTTATTACGCATTGTTGGTATGTAACGTAATTAAGGCTGAACGAAAGATTTCTATTGGAACACTATCCGTGCTTTTGCTGTCTATCCGCGACATGCCAGTGACATATAGACATATAGACATATAGACTAGATAGCGGAGATAGACGGCATTGTATGTGTCTTCATAGTCGTCGTCGTTGTTGTTGCTACTAGCAGCAGTAGTAGTAGCAGTAGCAGTAGCAGTAGCAGTAGCAGTAGCAGTGACATATAGACATATAGACATA